TGGATCGGGAGCTCTGGCGCGCCAATTCCCCCGATGGGAGCTTTGGCGCGCCATGCTCCCTGAAAGGAGCCTCCGGGAGACAGTGCTCCCTGAAAGGAGCTGCGCCGCAATGCTCCCTGATAGGAGCGGCGCGGACAACTCCCTTGATAGGGAGCTCTGCAACGCCAACTCCCCTGATGGGGAGCTCTGGCGCGCCATGCTCCGTAAAAGGGGCCTCTGGCAGACAATGCTCCGCGAAAGGAGCTGCGCCGCAACGCTCCCTGGTGGGGGCGGCGCCCAGGGTGGCAATCTGTCCGGTTAGAGCCACATGCCGCTCAGATGCGCTTCCTGCGTCCAGGGCGGCGCCTCAGTGAAAACAGGCAGCTCGGGGCCGCGTTGGCCCGAATCGCGTTCAACTGCGCAACTCGCGCCAGTGGGCGCGCTTGGAACGCCCGGGGTGGCAATCTGTTTTTTGTTGGGGGGCCAAATCGCGGTGGGATGCGCTTCGTGCGTCCATGGAGGCGCCTCGGTGCAAATAGGCAGTTCGGGGCCGCATTGGCCCAAATCGCGCACAAAATGCGCGACTCGCGCCAGTGGGTGTGCTTGGAACGAGCGCCCAGGGTGCCAATCTGCCCGTTTTGGGCCGAATCGCGTTGTGATGCGCATTCTGCTGCCGCGAGGGCTTCGGCGCAGGATGGGCGCATCTGCTCGTTTTGGGCCAAATCGCGCTTTGGTGCGCTTCCTGTGCCCGCGGAGGCGCCTTGCGCGACGAAGTCCGACATTGCGGCGCAGTGCGTGCGAGCGCAGTTCAGGGCCGCGGAACGCCCAAGGAGCGTTCTAGCGCGCAGGTGGCGCCCGATTTGAAATCTGAACCCACGCAGGGCGCAGCGTGCTCAGATGTGCAGTCTGCGCCCGCCAGACGCGAACGCAGCCTGGATCGCAGTCTGCGCCAGCAGAGGGCGCGGCGCGACCAAGCGCGCATTTGCGGACGCAGGCGCGCCGGGGCGCCTCCGGGCCGCGAGCTAGAATCGCAGTCTCAGCGGGCATTGGGGCGCGCCGTTCTCAGTTGCGCAACTGGCGCAGGGCGCCCAGATCTCGAGTCGCCATCTGTGCCAGCAAAGAGCGCGCGGTGCGCGCGCGCAATTGGAGCCCGCGGGGCGCCGACCCAGCTTTGCTTCGCAATCGGCGCCCGCAAAGGGCGCAGTTCGCTCAAATCCAGAACTAGAGCCCGCAAGCGCACTGCCGCGACCCGCCCCAAGTTGCGCGTGAGGGCAGAGTCGCCGCGCGCAGCGCTCGTGCGTGCAAATGGCGGGGCGGCGCGCCCCTGCAGATCGCAGCGCTCGAATTGCTGTTGGCGCCCAACGCGGCTCGGAATCGCACCCTGCGCCTGCGGCGGGCGCGGAGGGGTCGCGCCCTTCGGCGCCGGCCAGTTCGACGCCGAAGCAACGCCCGTCGAGAGCGCGCCTCTAATGCGCAATCGGCGCTTCCAGCAAGCCAGCGCTAGCCAGAAACGCAACCTGAGCTCGCAGAGGGAAAGCCGAATGCGCAATTCGCGCCCGCCAGGCGCGGGCCCGGTTCAAAATCGCACTGGGGCCCGCATCGCGGTCGAATTGGCGCGCGCAAGGCCTGCTAAGACAGCTCCAAGATGCTTCCGAATGACCGTTCCACGACCGAGCAGCGAGGTCACCGGGAGCGGCAAACTGCCACCCCACGCGCAACTGGCGTCCGTTGCATGCCGCGGCAGTCGAGATCGCAGCCTGCGCCGCGAAGGGCGGAGCGCGCTCGGATGCGCAATTGACGCCTGCAGGCGCCGCCGCGAGCAGGACTCGCAATCTGTTCCCGCAACGGGCGCGCCGCGCTCAAGTCCGCAATTGGCTCGCGCTCCGGCGCAGTCTGTGTCTCGGCGCGATCTGCAGGGCGCCGCTGCGACGCAGTGTGTCAGTTTTGCGCCGCAGAGGACGCGGCGCGCTTATAAATGATTTCGCGCCCGCGGGGCGCTGGCGCAAGCTGGGGTAGCAATCCAGGCCCGTCAGAAGGGGCAGCGCGCTGGGATCGGCAACGCGGCGCGCGCAGGGCGCCGCCGCGACCCGTGAGCAGCGGAGGGCGTGCCGCGCTTCCGCGACAACGTGCCCTCAGCGCATGCGTTCGCAACCGTGCCATTGTCGCCCAGGGCGGCCATCTGCGCTTTCAAAGGGCGCAGCGCGCCAGAGCGCAAGTGGCGCCGGCAGGAGGCGCAGTCGAAGTCCTGGCGCCCAGAGCAGGCAGAGCTATGCACTGGCGCGCATGCTGCGCGCAGCATCGCCAGGCCAAGCGGAGGCCAGGCGGAATCTCGCGCCTGCAACAAATCCTTGCGCGCTGGAGGCGCGCTTGACAATGGCGTGGGCGCAGGTGCTCTCAAGGTCCGACGTTGAGCGGTCCGCGCTAGCGCGGGCCAGGTCGCCTTGTCGCAGGTAAGCCCAGGGTGGCCAACAGCGCGCTCAGGCGCGCAGTCGGCGATCGCTGGTGCGTTATCCAAAGCGGAGGCGGTTCTGCAGCGCGCGGCGTTGCTGCTGATCGTGTGCAATGGGCGTTGAGCAATTCGCGATTGCTCTGCCAAGGCTGCTGCGCTGTCTGCCGGCTTCGGGTGCATTGGGTTTCGGGTGTGCGCCCGGGAGATTCCAGCCAGGCAGCGCTCATTGCGCGCTCCTTGCTGGCGCAAGGGCGCCGGCCATTCTCCGGCGAGGGCGAGGGCGACGCAGTTTCTGCAGCAGGAAAATCATCAGAGGCATGCCCTCGCAATGCTTCGGCGTCGCCTCTTCGCCTCTGCGCCTCATGGCCTGCCTCGTGGGCTCGCGGCGCCTGGCGAGCCGGCGCGCTCCTGCGGGGTGGAAGTAAGGCTGCCTTCTTCTCTGGCGTGGTCCAGCTGCGGGGCCCGTCCCCCTATGTCTCCCTCTGCTGGCCTGGACGGCGCATTCGGGCCTGGGGGGCGGGAGAGCGATCTGCTTCCAGCACCTCGCTTCCGGCGCCAGTCACGTGGCCGGCGCGGCGCTGTGCTCTCAGCGCCCTGCCTTGCCACTCTGTTGCGATGGTGCTCCTCGTGCTCTTTTCTGGCGCCCCTCGTCGCCGCGCTGCGTGTTGCCCGCGCTCCTCGTCGCCGCGCTGCCAGCGCGCTGTCGCCCGCGAGTTCGTGGCTAGCGCTGCGTCTGGCAGGGCCGCTGATGCGCGGCGCTCTCCCACGGCTCCTTGCAAAGAGCTAAGCATGGCCGCTGCGTGTCATTGCTTCCCCACCCTCGCCGCCCAGTGAGTGGAGCTTTCGCTGGCGCCCTTTCCTGGCTGGTATCCTGAAAACTCCAGCCAGGCAGCGCTCATTACAAACCCCTTGCTGGCGCAAGGGCGCTGGCCACTCTCCAGCGAGGGCGAGGACGACGCAATGATTTTCTGAGGATGTCCTACACGAAGGCGCCGTTTTGGAATTCGTCGCCGGATTCGCCGGATTTCCCGGGATCTCGCCGGAAACGGAACAGGGGGGCCTCTGAGGGCCTCCTTGGGGAGGCTCCGGGGGGCGTTTTTTGTTTGCAGGATGTCCCACGCGAAGGCGCGGGCTTGATTCGCCGGATCAACGCTGGTTTGGAATTCGTCGCCGGATTCGCCGGACGTCCCGGATCCGGCTGGAAACGAAACAAAGGGGCCTCTGAGCCTTCCTTGGGGGGGTTCAGGGGGCCGGTTTTTCTGAGGATGTCCCACTCGGGGGCGCTGGTGTGGAATCCGTAGCAGGATTCGTCGGACTCGCCGAATTTACAAGATCTCGCTGGAAGCGGAACAGAGAGGCCTCAGGGCCTGCTTGGAGAGGCCCCGTTTTTTTTTTTTGAGGATGTCCCACGCGAGGGCGCTGTTTTGGAATTCGTCGCTGGACTCGCCAGATCTCTTGGATTTCGTTGGGAACGGAACAGGGGGGCCACTGAGGGCCTCCTTGGGGGAGCTCCAGGGGGCGGTTTTTCTGCAGGATGTCCCACGCGAGTGTGCCGGTTTGGAATTCGTCGCCAGATTCGCCGGATTCGCTGGATTTTTTGGATCTCGCCCGAAACGGAACAGGGGGGGCGGTCGGCGGGGCCATTGTTTCGCGCGTTGGGGGTCAGGATGACGTGAGTTCCACAGATTCCTTCAAACCACCATCATCGAGATCGGGGTCATTTTCCTCCGGTGGAAGCACACCGCCGATATTGGTGTTGGTGTCAATTTCTAGACCTCCGACGGAAGTTCGCGTCAAATTTCAGGCTGGTTCCCGCATTTTTCTGACGGTCCCATCTGGCCAATTCGAGTCCCGCAACAATTCGAGTCTTACGACTGCATGGCAGAGGAGGCTTCTCGCAGGCCCTCCCGCCCTGTAAGAAGGAGGCCTCTCTCGGAGGGCTCCGGGCCCACCTACCACACCCCTGAAGCAGAGCTTGCCGAAAGTGGCCATGGGTCTCTGGGAACGCTTCGGGCTCGCACCGCAGTCTTCACGGGACTGCTCGGTCATGGGGTCGTGTTCTCGCAGGCCCTCCCGCCCTGTGAGAAGCCCCCTCTCTCGGAGGGCTCCGGGCCCACCTACCACACCCCTGAAGCAGAACTTGACGAAAGTGGCCATGGGTCACGGGGAACGCTTCGGGCTCGCACCGCAGTCTTCACGGGACTGCTCGGTCATGGGGGTCCTCTTTTCGCAGCGGCGCCCCCCCCTCCCAGCCCAGCGTTGCGTCGGCCCCCCCGCCGCGGCAGCGCCCCCCTCAAGCGCCAATTTTGGATGTCGGAGGGGCGTTGCTTTAGGTCGGGCATGTCCTCCGACGGTGATTTTTGATGAAAAAATGCATAGTCAAACGATATAATCAAAAACTTGTCAGGCAAATCGTCCCCAGGTTATTTTTTGACTATTGTTGGTTATTCCTCCTGTGGAGGGGCAGGCCCGACTAAAGGGTTGCTGAATCGATCCGTCAATTTTTTCTTCGGCAGGGTTGTAAGTAGGCCCCGTCCTTGTCCACCACCCATTGTGTTGCGCGGCGTCACAGGAGGTGTCAGGGACGTCCCTGGAGGGCGCGGTGGAGCTGACAGCAGAGGGGTGTCACACCGCGTGCGAGCTGCGGGCAGAGTGCGGCTGTTACGAGTTCGATCCCAGCGCTGCGCCAGCGAGGCAGTGCACGCTGATGAGCCAGTGCCGGGACTTCAACGATGTGGACGAGCCAAAGGTATCTGGCTCGTGCCAGATCTGTGACTGGTGCACCCCGAAGCTTCCATCGACGCCCGATCTGGTCATTCCTTTCTTCGAGCGGGACATGTGCAAGATGCGCATGACCGCCGCTTCCATCGAAGCACACGACCCGCACCATTTCATTGGCGACGTACACCTCTTGTGGCTCTCGAAGAAACCTCCGAGTGACTACGCAAACGACATTGAATACATTACAGGCGTCATCAACAAATCGCATAAGTCGCACCTCCACGACATGTCCTTCATGTTCTCGGAGACCGAGATTGAAGGATGGTTCCTTCAGCAGGTCATGAAGCTGAAGGCAGCTTCGCTGGTCCAGGCGCCTTTCTATGTTGTCTTGGATGCGAAAAACACGTTCATCAAAGACGTTGAGCAGTTCACATTCATGAGCCCATGCAACACAGGCCTGATATACGCAGACAGTGACTTTTCTAGTTTGGGGGAAAAGCAGGATTGGTACCTCAAGTCGGCCGATGCACTTGGAGTCAGCCTACCGCAGGACCGAAAATGGTCAGCGTCTGTCACCCCAGTTGTGATGCATACGAAAACCGTGAAAGATATGCTAGGCCAATTGAGCGAGGATGCAACTCCTTGGGAGCTTTGCAGCGGACCTTTATGCGGGTACATAGAAAAAGGTGCAACCGAGTTTGCATTGTACTATTCATATATAGCTGCTGTATCGGATGAGAGGTGTATACACGCGACTGTGCCTAAGAGTCCCGCAGTAGCTTTCTGGCGCGGAATTGACGGCGATACAAAAGAGAGCACTTGCAATTCTGTTGCAGGCGGGGAGAGGGGAGTCGTCATGTTCGGAGCACAGAGCGGTGCTGACAGCGAATTCGATGAAGATCAGCGCAAGCGGATTGCAGCCTGCTTTGCCGATATCTACGCTTCAGCGGGTCTCCATGATCCCGAGCGAACGTCGGATGCAGTACTGATGCAATGCGTGGTCGGTGCATGAGGCATTCAAAGGATGCTCGCACGCCTTCCGTGCGCACGTTTTTTCAGCAACCTACGTCAGTAATTCAATCGAGCAGTGAATAGGTATGCCGACACATCCGTGATCGCTCCACCGCCGGTATCCACGAACTTGAGAGCATCGACGCTCCGTAAGCATCATCGTTGTGATCCTCGCCGTCATCAGCGTCGTCGACAGCATCTGCGTCAGCACCAGCATGGTTGACGCCATCTCCGACATCAGAAGTAGCATCTATCGTCCGATCCAAACTGGTTGGTTGAACAAATCGGGTTTACGAAATCGGCTGCATGGAGCCATACGTCCGAAGCCTTTGCTTTCGGCCATCGGAAGTCCCGACCCCTCCCCCACGGCCGGTTTTTCTCCCCGAGCTGTTCTCAAGGCTCGCTGGGCCTGGCGAGGGCCCCTGGAGGCCGAAAGCGACGAAAAGTTGGCGCCCTGTTATTTGTCAGAGCGCTGGACGTCTCTGTGCTAGAGCTGCTGCGTGCAGCTGGTTCCGACTCCACCGCTGGGCGGCCTATGTGGAGGGAGGCCTCGGGAGGCCTCCCTTAGTCGCTCTGGTTCGGTAGGAAATCATGGGAGCCTTGGGTATCCTCGTAATTCTATCTTTAGCGTCGATTAGCGTCGATGAGCGTCTGGCAGTCGATGAGATAGCGCCGATTTAGCGTCGATTAGCGTAGATTCAGCGTCGATGTAGCGTCGATTTAGCGTCGATTAGCGTCGATTCGCAAGAGACGACAGGATGGTATGGGAGGCTCTCACGAGTTGCCACCGAACTCTGGAGGCCGCAGTGGCTTCCCTGGAGATCATGGGGGCACCTTGGGCCAGGGGCACTTCTAGCAAGACCCGACTGGGGTGCCACTTGTGGAGCCCAGGACCTCAGCTGCCTCGCCACGCCCGTGCTGAAACGCAACACGCACCGTGTTCAAGACGCCCGTGTCAATACGTTGCGTGTGCCCACGATTGTATCGCGTCATACCTACGTTTTCAGTCTACGTGTTGAGCTCTGGGTCCATACGCTACGTGTTGCGTATTGCGTATGTGGGCAGTTCAGCTGGGGGCACTTTGGGCCAGGGGCAATTCTAGCAACCCCCGACTTTGGGGGCCACCTCTGGAACCCAGGATCGGCGGCGACCGAGGGGGGGAAATGAGAAGCAGAAGGCCTTCCCAGAAGGCGGCGGGACTTCTCCGCAGCCCTCCAGCCTTCTGACGAGCTCTCTGCGTCTTCGGGGAAGGCTCAGAAAAAAAACTTCTCAGGAGGCCAGGGGGACTTCGGGCCCTCTGAGACGGCCTTCTCCTTCTCACTTTCCCCCCTGGGCTCGCC